GCGGTCGCTGTCCCGCCCGGGCCCCTGCGGGCAGCGCGCCCGGAGCTCCGTAGGCCGCTGCTTGTGGGAGAGAGACCCCGCAGCCGCCTGCGGGCGAGCTGTGTCGGCGGTCACACAACGGGGAGGGGGTTGGCAAATCAGGCGTCTGCTTGGGGTGGCCTTAACAGCTAGCGGGAGTGTTTTGACAGTGTTCTGCTGTAAAAGCTCTTGATTTCAGTTACTCTAATATGCCCTTCCTAATACGAAAAGCTGCCGTGTTGCAGGGAGAAAGTACTCCTGGGGCATCCAGAAACGCTCCTGGCAACAGCCCCATGAATGCTGAAAGACGAGAGCCCTTCAGCACAGGCCGCAGCATAACTCATCGTTTCAGCCAACTAGGACAACTTCTGGCAGGGAGAGTAGCACATAAGTGGTAGTTTTCTTCATAATGGAGGTGTCTGAGGCAAAATATAAATGTGACTTAGTTAAAAGCTTGTATCCTTCCTTACTTACATGATAAATTTCTGTTCCTCATTTTATCTCAAATAGTCATAGCAGGAAATAAGCTCTGTAAGACTGGAACAACCAATACCATAACAGTAATATTTTTTTTCCTGTATTTCAGGAAGCTTTGTGCAAGAGTGAAAGAGCTCGAGTTCTGGAAAAACAGAAATATGCTCCAGTGTGGATGCTCAGGAAGAGCCCACCACCTGACTGGTATCTTCCACTTGACCAAGATAAACCAAATTAGCAAGACTGTTTTGCTGTGTTTGGTCAGTGATGTAATACACAATGCAGAACTATGCTGGGGTTTTTTTTCTTCCATTATCATCTTGAAACTCTACAACTGTAGCTCTGCTCTGCAATGCTTTAGTACTCATTCAAAAATACTGAGTTTATTTAAACACCCAGTATTTTTTAAAGGGAGAATTGAGGTGCATAATTTGATTCTGGTCTCTTAATACTGTCTTACGCTTTAGGATTTCATCTCAGCAGGCAAATCCCAAATTAGTGCGTACATGATCTAGCTCCTCTTTCTAGATGAGGACCTCTTCCCCTACCAGATGTTGTTTTGCACTTTTGGAACAAGGTGCCCACCCCAGGCCTGCCAGATGGAAGAACAAAAGCAAGCTGGGACTTCTCCCTGCCAGTTCAGGACAATCGCAACCACTGGCATTTAAAAGGCATTTTCCAGATTCGCTGTTGTCATGGATTAAGAGCTTCTCACCTGGTGGGATGATAGTGCAGACCCTGAAACTGCAACCCTGCCCCTTTGTGGAACTGCTCTTGAATGGTGGCGTGTGTCGATGGCAGTATTCAAAATTACTACAAAAATAAAGGTTTAAATAACTGAAGAGAGACCCGTTTTGTTTTAGGGCAAACCCTTAGAAATTTAGTTACGATATTTACATGGCAATACAAAAAAAACAAAACTTAATTTTGGCTTTGTCACAGTATGTTTTTCATCTGTTTTCCCTCTTACATGCAAAAGTACCTCACTGAAGTCTGAAAAGAAAGGCAGTGAACAGTCAGCTGCTACCTCCCTTATAGTACAGACTGATGTGATGACTGTGACATTCTTTCCTCATAGCATAGGAATCTTCCAAGTTGCGGTTTATGCAGAACAAAAAAAAAATGCTGCTCCAGAGTGTATGGAGGGATGAGAGGTAGAGGCCCCGAAAGATAAAATACTCTGTAAAATACTACTTCTTTGTCCTGTTCTAGCACGGCACAAGTGTAAGGTAGTGTAGTTTTGTTGTGTGTCTTACTACCTAGACAGCCGCTTAAAAAACCCAAACAGATACTTCATTAATACTTTTTTTTTTACAGTCACACACCTACAGTATTTTAACCTGCAGAAGAAATTGTTTATTCTTATTCCATTCTTTCCTTCTTCAGTCGGCTGCGTAGCTCATGCTGGATGAACAAACTCCTCCATCACTGTGTATACACTTTGGTGATATCAACACATTTTCCTTCAGGAGGATCATAACCAGGAAGTGGCGGGGTATAATTAGGTCCATCTCTCTCAAAGGGGAAGAGCCCCTCATCTCGTCTGATTGCTGCCTGATACAGCTCTTCAGATTCAAGGCGCAGTTCCTTTAGTGCCTCTTGCTGAGCTTCTACAAGGGTCTGAATTGCTTTCTTCTCTGCCTTATCTTGTTTCTGCTTAAACAAACACCACTTTTTCATAAGTAAAACTCTTCTTTCAGTCTCCTCAAATGACAGAGGGGTAAGACTTCGCACCCTGATAAAGAGTAAGATAACACTGTAATAGAGAAACAGCCTGCACTCCAAAGAGCAAATTTAAAAAAAGAACCAAAACACACATACAACAACAAAAACAAAAAACCCATCGCAACAGAAAAACCCCCACCAAACCCAGAGAATACATTTCATTTACGCAATGTCTGTGAGGTTTTCCACAGTAATTCTAACAGGAAGTTCATGTTAATATTTTTTTCACTGCTTTTAACAGGAGCAAATAAAATTTGCTTTCTGCATTTTTGTCCCAGTAGAAGTAGGTAAGGTTTTGTACCCAGGCTAGCACTACATTGCAGTTTTGCAGAGGAAGAAATTACAAGTGTTTCTACCATGAATGCATGGTGAAAAGACAGTCTTTCTTACCTGTTGCTATCCGAGTACTTAAGTGGTGTTACAAAATCCTCAATTGGAATCATTTCAGGGGCAGCTTTTTCCAACTTTTTAATCTTCTTTTTCATACGATCCTTCTGTGCTTGCTCTCTCTTTACATCCACTTTCTTCTTCTTCTTTGGTTGTGCTCTACAAGGGAAATAATTACGTGAATGAAAGAAGATATTTTGTCATTTAATTCAACACCAGCAACTTTCACTTCCACTTTACTTTTCTAAGGACTGTTCCTTCCCATTGCTTAATTTGGTCCCATTAGGGACCAAAGAAGTTCCAGCCATTAGCTTTATTCAAGTAAAGTAGTTTCCAGGAGACAGTAATATGTCTTGTGAGATTTTCTGCAGAGAGAACTGTACCTGCCTGAGAAAGGCAATCTCCAATTTTGTGCTGAACATCAGAATGACCTGAGGAGGTTCCACAAAAATTGAATTGAAATTGTTGTGCACTGCTGTAGCAGAGCAGGTCACAGGTTTATCTCCAAATATTCCTGTCATCTCACATTAAAGAAGAGAGTGAGTGGTTTTACACGTGCTTTTAAAATTTCCACGTGGAACCAAATTCACGGTGCAGATGTTACTCTCCTGTTGTACTCCTCCACGCAGATCCAGTATACCCAAGATAACATGCCACACTCCACAAACACAAAACTAATCCTCACAGTGGATGTGTGGGATATCATTCCTGCCTTGCAGATCGAACAAACAACCTTTAATAGTGTGAAACAGTCTCTCTGATGATACCTAATAGCGACCAGGATATTTTAAATCTAGTTGCATCAAAACAAAACATGGATACCAAAATGTAACATATATGTAAACGCAGACTGTCCGGTATACCACTTTGTAGTAAAGTGTTTTCGGTTCAGCTAGGCTTTCCTTTCCATCGTTGCTCAAAAGAGAATTCTGGAGCACAGCTTAAATCTGAACATCTCCAAACATTCTGTGGTTGAGGAAGCAAATACGACTACGCACAAGCATAAAGCGGTAATTGTATAGGTTACTGTTAAACTCTCCTTAAGAGGCCAATGGTTCTTAACTACTTTTACATATAGTGATTTAAAAGCAAAAATCTATAGTTAAAAGTTAATTTGGACTCGGGACAATGTGTTCCCCAAGGATGAAAACACTTCCATGTAACTCCATGGTAGTTGCACTCACCTCATGGGGAGAGAGGCCCTGAACGCCAGCAGTGAAGTCTCCCAGTGACTTCCTTGGAATGGAACCATCTGGGGCAGCCAAGAACTTAAGAAGAAAAAGGAACATAAAGCATGAGAAGAAACTGGCTTTGATGGCATTGATTCTGCAAAATACAGGAGGTATTTATCAGTCATAAATTACAATGACGAGTTTTGAATCATCTTTGGCTACTTAATTCATGACAGTGTTTGCCTGGAGACGATAACCTCAAACCCTTCAGCAAGGTAGCTAAACCCAAAATTTGGGCTGTTCAGTGTTGCGAAGCCACAGGGTACCGAGGGGTGGAGCAGATACATTTTTTAAGTCTATGAATAGGTTAGAGTAATTTTATTCTTAAGCTGCGATGATGGCCTCTTTAAAATGCCGATTTTGGAAAAGTAAAACCACCTCCGTTCAAATCGGGAGGAAAGAGACGCCGTTTCTCAAATCTCGGCGGATGTCACAAGAGAGAGAACCGGCCCGGGTGCCCGCGCACCGCCTGCTCAAGGTGCGGAACCAGGCCCGCACGCACCATATCCCGCTCCCGGCCCCGGAGCGCGGGCCCCAGCCGCCCAGGTAGCCCCT